TATCATCTATCTCCAATGGAAATATTGCAGTGCCAAATGAAGGCTTTTCACAGTATCTGTACAAAGCAAAGGATCAGTCCTGGGACAGGGCCTGCTATTCAGTGTAAGTTTTCAACTTTCACTAGCCTGCTATTCACAAGGATCAAAGAACTCATCTACTGTAGTTTAATTTCAGCAATTACAGTATCTCACATTCCAATTGCAAAAAGTCAGTGTTTTCTCAGCCCTTATAATGCAGTTTTTGAAGACTGCAAAATCACTCTCCATCTTATATCCAATTTCTCCATCTTGGAGTTTGTTATCCTCTCAATACTGCAAAGGAAATCCTTTGATCTAATAGCTCTTACTGATCCTGCCTTTTAACCACAAAGTTAGCTTTTTATTAGCAATCACCTCTGCTTATGATGTCTTGGATTTAGTGTCTTTAAGAACTGACCTTTGTTATGTGGATTTTAAAGGGAAAAATGGTCTTATATTAGATATTAACTTTCTACCTGAAATTGTTTCTGATTTGCATTTCAGCCAAGATATGTCTCTTTCAACTTTAGAAAGGCTTACCAGTTTCATTCAAGCAGAGATTATTTTATTAGCATGTTATGTATCCAACCCTCTTTTCCCAACACTGATGGAGGGGAGGGGGGCTCTTCCATCTTACCTCCAGCAGCACCATGAGGCAGTTAGTTACCTGACATTGGTAAAGCTCTACTTCAGCTCAGCCATCAACCTGTGGAAAATATCATCAACTGAACACAATGGCTTAATTTAATCAATCCATTCAATTAATGTGATTGATTAATTAATTATCAAGTTAATTAATATGAATTTGTATTCATATGACTCCATCCCTATGAAGGTTGTCATTCCCCCATAGTTGTTCTGAGTTGGTCTTAAGGAACTAAGGTAAAGAAACTGAGCGTTTTTGAGAGCATGCATATTGAAGGATAGATCTATCTGCGGGGCCCAAATCTAGATGGTCGCTCAAAAACCAACGTTGCTGATAATCCTACAGCCTCAAGCCTGAAGTGATGCAGTTATAGGTACTCTTGACAGTATAATTTGTCCCCTTGTGCGTAAGTAAGAAGAGATATTTGTCAGTGGTTTTGATAAGTTTTGGCCCTTCCCTGATCCATGTTCCCAGGTAACAACACACTTCATGAGCCAGGGGGTCCACACACCACACATAAGTATCTGTTCCTCATAGTTAGGAGTGAGTCATTCCTCCTTATCTTCCTTCTGCTAGTCCTCCTCTTGTCTTTGTCCTTTTGCATGCAACAATTGTAATTCTTTGTCTTTTGGGTCACTAACTTTTTGATTCCTTGTTTAGCATTATTATTTTTTGTGGCCCAAAAGCTGTTTCTAACTCCAAATATATTATCTGGAATTTGGGTATCAAATTCTTGCTCTTGCCCCTCCCTTCTTTAGGAAGAATCACAGCCCTGATGGAACAGCTCCAGATAGCGAGCAGGCAGGGTGGGAGTTGCTGTTGGGGGAGGGAGCTAGGATGATCAGGAGTGTAGAGAGTGAGGGGAGAGTTATGGGAGAGGAAAACAGCACGGGGATGGAGGGGGCAGGCCATTGGGGAGAGAAAGTCTGATTCCTGTCCCATCTCCCAGTCCAATGCCCTAAACCTAGCTCTTGGTGTCAGATAACTGGGTGCTATGGACTCAGGCTGCTTCTGATGAATGGCAGGTCCATCTGTAACAAGACCTTGCTCCTCCGCAACCCGGCATTGAAGGTGTGGGGGGACCTGGCATAGATCACCTGGCTAGGTGAGGATGGAAGGTGCCTTTGTCCAAAATGTGCCTGGCTGGGTTTGGGGTGGCACGCCAAACTCGAGTCAAGGGCAGGGCAGGGGAGGTAGCATTAACATCTTGTGAGCATCTGACTTTGGCCGTGGGTGCTGTTCCATAGTTGCTGGGTATAGGGCCTTCTATGTGAAATTAGGTGCCAGGGACAAGATGGGAGCTTCCCTGCTGCCCAGCTTGATCCCTCCTCAAGTTCCTTGACCCCTTTGCCAGGCTGATGGTTAATTCCCCCAGGCTGTTTGTGTTGGGGGTTTTAACCTTCACAGCTTGGGGATGAGGTTAGGGGGCTCAAGAGTTCATGGCTGCCACAACAAGCATGGACTTGTCCCAAGTTATCACAATACTGATTCATGGAGGAGGAGGCACACATTGCACCTGGTATTTATCTTAGAGCAATTAGTTTGTGATCTGAGGGTGGACAGCATCAACATTAGTTGGTTGTCATGGTCAGATCAGATCACTGTCTGGTCACCTAGACTCATGGCCACCACCAACTTCATACAGGAGGACCTTTAGATGAGGCATTTTATGGATACAACAGATGTTGATGAAGCAGGCAACTCTGTGCAAAGCTTGATTGTACTCTGGAATTCAGAGACAGCCAGACGTCTTGATATGGTTGTTCTTAAGTGTTTCCTCTGAGGGCACTGATCTGGGGGCACACTGATCCAGGGAGCTCCAGGAGGTGAACCCAGATAGCAGAATGAGATTCCAGTCTAATGCTGGACAGATTGGAGGACTGGGCTAAGAGGAACATGACACCTTTCAACGGGAGAAATGTAAGGTATTACATTTAGGGAAGAAAAATGTAGGATTCATGGCTTGGAAATGCTATATCGGAAAAGGACTTCAATGCGTTTATTGACAACCAGCTGACTATGAGCCAGCACTGGGAGCCAGCTGCTAGAAGAAGCATTGTATCAAAGGCATGTGATGCCCTTATTCCTCTCTCCTCTGCACTGGTGAGACCATACTGTGTACCACGTTTCCAGAAGGATATTGACAGGTTAAAATAGATTCAGAGGTGATACAGGGACTTGAGGACCAACCCCATAAGGACAAGCTGAAAGAGTTTGGGATGTTTGGTCTGGAGAAAAGAAAACTGAGGGGAGGCATTTCAGCAGTGTTCAGGTATATAAAAGGAAATGACAGGGAAGATGGCCAGGGACAAGTATATATTGCCACAGAACCAAGACAGTTGGTACAAGCTGCAGCTGTTAGATTTCACTTAATACTGTAAAGAAAAACTTCCTGTTAGTAAGATCTGTAGAACAGTGGAACAATCTACCTACAAAGACTGTGAGGTCTCCATCCCTGGAGGGTTTATAAAGAGGCTGGAGGTCTTGATAGTTTTCTTGCACATTGCAGAGGATTAGACTAGATGGCCCTTGTGACTGCAGCTGTATAATTCTTACATAGCTTTCCTCCTACAGTTCCCCTAATCAGGAGTCTGTACTTCTGCTAATACACCTGAAACAACATTTGCAGCTGCAGCATGCTCTTAGCTCATATTCAACACCCAGATCCTTTTCATGCATCTTGCGGGTCAGCTCTTACCCATCCTATATATATATCTTTCATTTTCTTCTCTCTGTTAAATTTCATTCTGTGCATTTCAGCCCACTGTTCAAGCCTCTCTAGATCTTTCTACAGTACTAGCCAGATTTTTGCTAGATTTTGTTCATTTGCAAATGTGATCAATTATCCCCTCAGTGCCTTCATCCAGGTCATTAACAAAAATATTGAATCTATATTCTCTAGTGTGGCAATGCAGTCAATTATGAATCCACCTAATGTCATCTAGCCCATATTTTACCATTTGATTAATGATGATATCAGGAGAGTATTTGTCTGATGCTTTGCTGAGCTCGATACAGATAGTCCTCACTTAGCAACCACAATTGGGACCAGAAACTCGTTAAGCGACATGGTTGCTAAGCAAAACATCATGTGACCACAAAGGATATCAACTCCCAATACAATATCACTTCCCATTCGGTCGTTAAGTGAGACATCATGTGACCATGACTTCTGATTTTACTGTCGGATCCTCCATTGACTCTGCTTGTTGGAAGCCAGTTGTGAAGTGCGTGAATGGCAATCACATGATCGTGGTATGCTGCAATTGTCGTAAATCCCCACTGGTTGCAAAGCACCCAAATGTTGATCATGTGACTGCAGGGACACTGAAAAGGACTGGTGGTAAAGTTGCTTTTTCAGCACCATCATAATTTCTAACAGTCACTAAACAGGGCAGTCATTAAACAAAGTCTACCTGTACACTTTGTTCACTGCATTCTCCTGATCTAATCTAGTAACTGTTTCAGAAAAGGAGATAAACTTGCTATGATAAACTTGTTGTTGTTGTTGTTCAGTCGTTAAGTCATGTCTGACTCTTCGTGACCCCATGAACCAT